CCTTAGTCATAGTTTTTTTATAAGCATTTAAAGTTCGAATCTTGACAAAATACGGAAAAATCACAAAACTTTAAATTTTGCTGAATGTTTTCATTTTTTATACATCAAAAAAATTTGAAAATATTTTGCCTCTTTTTGAGCCATTTACGGACATTGACAGTTTTCATTTTTCTTAGTTTTTTTTCTATAAATATCAATAAAAAATTTTTTGTTGGGTAAAAAAGCATGAAAATTTAACGCAAGGCTCCTGATATATTGTAACAATATTAGTTGAAAAGTATTAAAAATACATAGGCACAATTTTTTCTTATAATCATTTAAAGTTCGAATTTTGACAAAATTTATCAAATTTAAAATGTAATAAATATTTTGTAATTAAAAATTTATAAAATGTTCAACTTTCATAGTTAAGGATTAAAAATTTAAAACAATGGTCCACGTAAATAGGTAAATATATAAATTACTTTATTTACAATAATATCATCAAATATACTTAGTAATATCATAGGCTGACTGGACAGTTTTCCCTTAGAATCGTTTTTCTTATACAATGATATTATATCATTGAATTCAAATTTTACACCATCCATTACAGTGACCCACTTGTAACCTACTGTACAGCAGAGCGACATCCACTTACCCACTTTTTTGTTTTATTGTGTGACTATGTTGATAATTTTGTTCGGCCCCTCCCGAAATAAAATTCTGGATACGCGCCTGAATCGTGATATAAAACAAAATAATATTATTGTTAATGTTTGAAAATTATTCATTATATAATACCTATATTAATTTTTATAATGACAAGTAAGTATACCTAAGCTTAGTGTATTATATTTGTAATTAAATACCTATTAATAATGTGGTAATTATACTAATTAGCTTTAAAAAAATATTCCGTCGATCGATGTCATGTGATTGTGAGTAATATTGTAGTCTGGGGATCATTTTTCCTAGGGGCTAGGACCAGTGATTTTTATTCCGAAATTCACTGTCTGTATATTATTATAGAGTTCAGTGCATAAATACAGTGAAATTATATGTATATTAATATATTATAATTATTAAAGCCAGGATTTTTGTGCAGGTTTTACCTAAAAACCGTGTAATTAAAATGCTGAAATGTGGAAAATCGTGCAAAAACCAAATTTTACTAGGAATTATGACATTTTGTAACACATTTTTCATCATAGGTAGGTACTTCAAATTTTATTTTTGAAGTTATACTTCTTTACGCACGGTAGTGAGGAAAAAAAAAAGCGAACGGGCGGCGCGTACGAACGGGCGGCCGTACGAACGCGAAAGCGTACATGTCAGTAAATAAATAAATATTGTCATGGTAATGTTGTTTTATTATATTATATTATAATATATATATAAATATATATATATATATATATCTGTATATATAAAACAGTAAGCTGATTGACTGCTATCAACGCACAGCTCAAACCATTGGACGGATCTGGCTGAAATTTGGCATACAGATAGCTATTATGATGTAGACGTGCGCTAAGAAAGGATTTTTCGAAATTCGCATTTTAAATAGGTGCTCAAACAGGGACATTGAGATTCAAGATAGAAATTGGAAATTTTATTTTTATTTATTAATAGTTGCCATTGGTTACAGTCTACATTAGAAATTAGCATTTATTTATTGGTTGCCATTGGTTATTCGGGCAGATCAGGTACAAGCTTGCATCAAATCAAATTATTGAACATTGCCTACCAGGGTGGCTGAGTTGCACTTACCCCAGCAAGTTACACCCAAAAGGAGTTCAACAATCATAATTTTTTTAAGAGTTGTGATTTTTTACGAGCAACCAAATTTGTTATATTAATCCACCGTATTATATCAAAATAAACTTGGTATAACTTTGATAATTTAGAGTTAAATCATACACTTCCGTACAAACAGCACGGGGTCCGCGATCTACCGCAGGTAGATTGCCTACCTGATAATGTACTGCTGCAATTCAGAATTTTTATTCCGGGCAACGGAAAAGATAAGATAAATTTTGAAAACCATACACCGAATATTGAATAACGAATTGAACAAAGTTTGAGTCATAACTCATATTGAGTTGATACATTTAAAGGGCGACGAAGTGCACGGGATCAGCTAGTATTATATATTATAATCGGGCCATACTAGTTAATATGAATAATTAATGATCGATTATTATTTATTTTTATTATTATTATTAGTATTTACTCATAAATCTATTGTCTGGATAAAAACAATACTACAAACAATTATCAATCGATCTGTCGAATAAAAATATAAAAAAAATAATAAAACTATCAATAATAAATAATTCCGGATACTTATTCTCATTTTTTAAATTAATTAATATTTTTTTCTTTCTTTTTCACTCACTCACGTGTACCATTCAAAAGAAGTTTAACTTCCCGCGCGCGTACTGGTAACACACATGGTTTTTTTTATTGCTATTTATTTTATAGGTTTTTATAGTCCACCGGATTTCTTGACAACGGCTAAACCCAAAATGTACACATATAAACTTGATTTATTGAATCGATATATAGTTATAAATTAATTGGATTTTTATAGGTAATCGATGTAGTATACCTATATATAAGTACTCAAAATGGATTATACTTTTTTGAGAAATTATTAGTAGTAGGAAATGGCCGGTACTGGTGACCCCCCGCTTCACCACCCCCCCGCCTATACTGCGCTACCCTGCGCTCCCCCCGCCACAATCCCCCCGCCTATACTGCGCCAGTCTGCGCTCCCCCCACCACCCTCCCCCCGCCTATACTGCGCCAGTCTGCGCCCCCCCCGCCACCCTCCCCCCGCCTATACTGCGCCAGTCTGCGCTCCCCCCGCCACCCTCCCCCCTCCACCCCCGCCCGTCCCGCACCGGAACTACGTAATCCGGCTCCTCCCGCGTCATCGCGGGCCCCCGCGGTATATATATATATATATTGCGCCACTCCGCCAATCCCCCGCCCGTCCCGCACCGGAACTACGTAATCCGGCTCCTCCCGCGTCATCGCGGGCCCCCGCGGTATATATATATATATATATATATATATATTGCGCCACTCCGCCAATCCCCCGCCCGTCCCGCACCGGAACTACGTAATCCGGCTCCTCCCGCGTCATCGCGGGCCCCCGCGGTATATATATATATATATATATATATATAGTAAATACTCCGAACATGCTATAGTATATACCTATATATACCTATATATACTATATACCTTCTATGTACATACTATGCACATACCTATATACTATGTACATACTACATACTATATACATACTATGTATATACTATGCACGCACCTATATACTATCTACATTGTACATACTACATACTATGTACATACTACATACTATATACATACCTATATACTATATACATTGTACATACTACATACATACTATGTACATACTACATACTATGTACATACTACATACATACTATGTACATACTACATACTACATACATACTATGTATATACTATGCACACACCTATATACTATGTACATACTACATATATGTAGGAAGGGGAAAACAGCCAGGTAGTATGTATATTGTTTATGAATGATACTACTATATATATATATATATATATATATATATAGGTATATACTATAGTATGTACATATTATATAGGTAAGTATATATATAAGTATGTACATAGTATGTACTAGTATGTATATAGTATGTACATAGTATATACTAGTATGTATATAGTATGTACATAGTATGTATATAGTATGTACTAGTATGTATATAGTATGTACATAGTATATAATTAGGTATACATGGGTATACACTATATATATATATATATAAATGTTATTTATATATATATGTTACGGGTGAAGTACAAAAACGGTTAGTGTACATATTACCCGGGTAATGTGAACCTCATCCATACGAACAGTGTAATGTATACATTATCCACCTTAAATATGTAGTATCCAATCAATTTATACATTATCTGGTGTGCTGTGGATAATGTATTCGTATAACTATAATCGTAAACTTATAACTTCGGTCTAACATGACCAACGCATCAAACACTTAAAATGGTACAGATTATACAAAGTTTAGATTGACACGATTCGCAAAACTTTAAGTAAATAGACACTGCTTCTTGTGTTATATTTTTATACTTTTTTTTAACTTCAGCATTCATGCGGTGTTTTCCACCATGCCCAATACTCAAATGTATATCGTGTAGCACATCATAGATATTTTCATTAGTAATATAGTACACAATGTCACAATGTTTGTATTACTTTCCAACAACGGCAATATTAATTTATCTTCTTCTCCAATAGTAATGAGGTCGTATCTTTTCAAAATTCGATATGTCTTGTTACTTTTTATTCCACTTGATCTCACATTTTTAATTTCCGAAACTATTTTGTTATACTTAACTGTCGATAAATAAACTGAATTATTATTTTTTTCATTAACTATTTTATAAAAACACTCATAAAATTTTTCGCGTGAAGTCATTTTAAAAACCTATTATATGTACGACGCGTGTATTAAGACGAACTAGCACCGTACTAAATATTATTGCGTGTGTTTCTTCATAAACATTTATCTACAATCGTTATTTTGTCGTATACAATTTATCAAAGAACTTTACCCACTCAGTCATAGATAATGTGTAAAATACCCGAGTAAAGTACGAAATAAACGTTTTATAAATAGTATTTTTACTTTATCCAATAGGTACAGGTAGTGTACACATTACCCGGATGATGTGAACACTAACCATATTTTGTACTTTACCCGTAACATATATATAGGACGTAACGTATAAGAGTTATTGATGTATATTAGATATATATATATTCATTTAGAAGGATACCAAGTCAAATAATATAGCATTTAAATTGTTTGATATATTTTTTTATATTTATTCAATACAATATACATAATATTATATAGCTTATTATGGTGTAATGCACCGTATAGGTGTCATATTATTATAGTTGTTTGTCAGTCAATAGTATCATATGATTCGGATTTACTGCTACTAACTCGATTATTATCGATATATTCATTTTTAACATTTTCAATAAATTGTACGCCTTTATATAATAATATAAATATGCATTTAGGGTTATGCAAGGCGTGTTGACTCCATGGTTCATCATTTTTTTCCCATTTTCCCAACAATAACCCACAGTAGTAACATTGAACCAAATCATCCGTACCAGTGTAAGTGAATCCACATTGAGCCAATGAATATTTATCTTGGTATGATTGTGGTGAACGTGAATCATATGTTTTCAACCTTGATAAAAAGCTCGAATACATAGGATATTCTGGATCTGAGTTCTCTTCCACCGAATGCACTAGTGATTGAAAATCGGTGGAATATTTTAATAAATTCATATTTATAGTACTTATAATAGGTAAAATAATTATATTTAAAACGCTAATAATGCCCAGTAGTGATTTATGCGCTTACGGACAAAACACTCCTAACCTGAGTGATGGTCTAACAGTAACTGGCTATATTACATGATTATAGATCGTACGATGAAGCTATCACAGAATAATAATAATAATAATGCAAATTATAATATCTGAATTGTATACTGTGATACAGAATTAATATAATAATAATAATAATAATATTAATAATAATAATATTATATTATATATAATAATAATTATATTATTATTATTATTATAGTGTCCAGATGAAATATAATATAAGTAAAACGATTATACTAAGTCTTCTATAAAATATCCTTGTAGAATATTTTTTCTAGAAAATATTATAACATGTATAAATAATATATTAATAAATTAGTAAATAAATATTAAAATAGAATTTATATAAAACTAACTTATACCGCTATGAATATTAGATAAAACCATCAACTATGATAATTATTAAACAGCTCACATATCAGTATACATCAGTAAAAATATATGTTAACCGCGGATCGTTGGTGTGTTGTATTGTTTAACGTTCCCGCGGAACGTTGGTGTGTTGTATTGCTTAACGTTCCCGCAGATCGTTGGTGTGTTGTATTGTTTAACGTTCGAAATTTGTGTATTTTTTATACAGTTATACGTGTAATTTTAAATCGTTTTTAAGTTAAATTCCGTAGAATTATTATTATTATTATTATCATTATTTTAGTGAAGGCGCAACAATCGTTGTTATCTATTAAATAAAATCCCCTTATTCGTAATGTGTAAAAATCGTCTCACAGACGAGCGTATTCAGTTATCTCTTTATTACTCAACCATAGGACATAACCCACAAAAACATCCACAGACATAATATTGTATTATATTTTATTTATTTATTCTTGTTTGCGTGTTCATATTAAATTTCTGTGTTAGAAAACCGTCACGTAATACTTCCCTTCTAATTTAAATACAACACAATGTATTATTGTAGTATAAACGTTTTCATTATACATAATATACAATACCACCCCGTGATCCGTTCACACCACAAGGTCATAAATGTGTGGATACAGCCTTTAGGTCTATACAGACTAAACTCGGGTCTCCGCTGAACGAGTAGTAGTAACAGTGCAGCTATCCTCGACGTAGTCTGAGCATTTTAATAATATAATTTCTAAAACGCTATCAACATTCGAGTGTCTAAATTATAAGCACACTGTGTGTACGTTATAATATTTATTTTAATTATTTTTAAAAATAATTTACACAGTTACTTATGAATTCATACGATACACGCAACATTAGGCCGGAGTTCCACTTGGAATTCGAGCGCAGGCATGCAGTACTTGAGCCGTATATAGATCACATAAAGAATTTCATGCTTAACCATATAGTGTACGAGCGATATGATATCGCGGAAGACGATATTTTTTTATCAGGTGAGTGCGCCGCATGGCTATTGGGACGTTTCGATAAATTTAGTAGGATTGATGTATTAATTGATATTAGACACCCGCAAGAATTTAGGCTGACTGCGACGCCAGAAGCGTTCTTTGATGGACTCAAGCGTGGGCTACCGAAAAATAGTGATTTCCCCGGCGAGCTTGAAAATATGTTTGGCTTATCCAGCATTATCGTAAATTATCTCGAGATGGATATAAGCTTTGTTTTCATACACGGTACTCTAAATTATTTACTAGAACATTTTAATTTGTCGATATCGGCGGTACTTGTAAATTTGTATAACTTATCGATGGTCTACACCGCCGAATGTCCGTGTGATTATGAAGGACAGTGTATGACCTCATCTGAAACTCGTAAAATTATATACCCGTTATTATTCGAAGCATCATCTGTCGTCCAACCATCGGACAAAAATATATCGATGTGCACACGGGCAGTGACTACACCCTTGCGCCTTCGCGGTAGATATCATACGTTTCAGAATTTGTTAGCATCGTATGGTCCGCGTAAGCATTTACGTGAATTTTTTTGTGACTATTCAATTTTCGCAAGGTATGCCGAGCTTGTGAATGCGCGAGTAGATGAGACTGATCGACCGTTATCGTTTTACATCTACCCCGATTGCATAGCGTGTATGTCTCGGCGGGAGAAGTTGACCCGTTGGGCGTACGATCATTGGGTGCGTAGGACATACCATCCAATTACTGGATATGGTTATCGGGAGGCTAAAAACCGTTTCAATAAAAGCGATAGTATAGATTTACCGATAGTTTTATTTACTAACCATATTTTATTTAATGTTAAATTCCATCTATCCCTTCAGTATGTGAAAAATTATTCTCTTTTTTCCGTCCAATACTCACAGAATTTCATATGCTCCTAATAAATCTATTTGTTCACCCGAATAATTTAACATTAACCATAAATTCATAATGACGATAAACTCATATAATATATATATATATATATATATATATATATTAAAAACATAAAGTTAGCGGTGATGGTGGTGGTGGTGGTGGTGGTGTTGACTAAATTCAACCGCCCGGCGATGGTTGATAATTGTAACCAGCTAATTAAAAAAGCGGTACAACTACTATAGGTACTACTACCTATCATCACCATCGTAGATTCGGTTATATATTATTATGTTATTTATTATATATTATTATTATATCTAATCAATTTATTATAAGGATTCTAATATATAAATTATTAATCTATATGGTTTAAATTAATTATATATGTAAATGTAATATATATTAACTGGGGTCTAGGGAAAATATAATACATGTACCTTTTATTATTTGCATATTGTATATATTATAATATTTATAAGTTTGACTGTTTTTTTTTTTTCTTCTTAAAATGTATACTATTCTCTCATATTAACAATTCGTTTGACTTTTCCTATATTATACAGCTAAGGTTAGAGGCGATCGGCGATGACTCTATTGCTATCAAGTTTATTTAAAATTCATGAAATAATATTTTATATATAATGTTTTAATTTTCCTAAATAATATTATATTTTAATGAATTATGACGCATAAATAATATTATACTATACAGTCGCAGTTATAGAGATTTTTATTTAAACGAAAATGCTAAAATCTACATGTACATAATATAGTAAGCATAATCAGCTTGTAATATGTGAAAAATGCATATTACACTGTTCGGTCATAATTATTCGTAAGTCATAATATTATCTAGCTAAGCATGCGACGCGTTTGATAATAAAGTTGATCCGCGCTTATACAACAAGGAATCACACGCTCGATACACAACCCCGCACACTTATACACTCGTCACAGTATTGCTGTATCAGTAATAATATTTATCGCACAAGGAGGTGCCATTGTTCCACCCGCTTGCGCGCCGGATCGCCAAAGAATACGGATGTAGGGAAATTTTCGCGTGCACAAGGATCGTTGTGATCGATTGATATAGCTCAGTTGAGGGGTGGTGGGGTGATAGTGCCTCAACCGTTATTAAGTTAATTAAATTGTAGTGGATGTTAATTCAGTCGTCTTCACCAACCGAGTACAAATACATATCATCAGTGATTTATTGTAATACATTTGGCACTCCGTTATACATAAGTGAGTTACTTATTTAATATTTATCTTGCAATAATAATATTAATAATTTATTAATATTTTCTGTAAGTATACATTCATTTTTATATAGTATAATAGTTAACTATAGTAATAATATTTATTATTTAGATTCAAATTTATAATTGACCATATCTTTGCCATCGTCATCAATAGAATCAAAATCAATCATCATCATCATTATCATCATCATCATCATCATCATCATCATCGCCACCATTAACATCGAAGGAGCATATACCGTTAACCGGCATTACGAATTAATATCCATCTTCAGACACCAGAATTATAAGTGAGTTCTATTTATTTATTGTAGGATATTAATTTATTACCTATTATTATCATTATTATTATACGCACTCGTATCGTATAATACTGTTAGAAGTCGAACCCATAGAACCCAATTTTCTATGAATAATTATTTTCTATAATATACTATTATTTGATCACGGTGGAACTTTCACTCGGAAATGTATCGTGGATAGGAAAAAACTCGTATAAAAATATCCGATAAAATAATAAGTATCTACGGATAATTAAAACGGGGATCGACGTATACTTGTATTCATAAAAATATTTTATCACATGTTAAATAATAATTATTATATTATACTTAATATAACTGATTATCCTATATAACATTCCCTGCAAGTGTTTAAATTATTTATTTATTTATTTATTAATTATTATTTTTTTTTTTTTTTTTTTTTTTACATTAGCTAAATGACGTCGTTATTACAGTCATTAAAAAGCCAAGCCATCAATTCGAACCAGTCAATAGGCGATTTGGAAGTGGGCCGCAGTTACGCGATCCAGAGCATGAGTGGAATGGACAACAAATTTGGACCTGCCATAGCATGCAAGCTGTCTGGGGGGTACAATAAATGTGTTTTTACCTAAATATATCGAGATTTCCGAGACGGAACTAAACGATTATAATAAACGGGACGTACCCCCCATATCACTAATTTTTAGAGGGAAAAGCAACGGGCGATTTATTATAGACTTCGAATAAAGTCTATAATGAATCTGCTCTAGAAGTAAAAAAAAAAAAATTAATAAAATACTTGTAATAATAAAAATAAAAAAAATGTTTATACTTTGAAATACGTTTCAATTTATTTTATTTTAATGTTATATTAATAATAATAATAAAATAATTTTAAAAAGTTAAATACTTTTCATTAAAAAAAAAAAAAAAAAAAAATGTAGGTATATATTATATAATATAAGTATTATACATTTATTACATAGTATGACGGTATAATAAGGTTTTATCATAATATAGATTATATTCATAGTGGTATAAGTTAGTTTGATATAAAAACATGCTGTTTAATATTTATTTATGGATTTATTAATATCTTATTTACACATATAATATCTTCTAGCAAAAAAAAAAAAAAAATATATTCTATATCCTACAAGGATATTTTATATTTTATGGGTAATTTGCAAAATCGTTTTAATTATATTATACTTTATCTAGACACTACAATAATAATAATAATACTTATTATTATTATTATTATTATTATATTAATTTCATAATTTGATGTGAAATATATTTTTATTCAATAGGTACCTAATAAATAATAATAATAATAATAATAATAATAAAAATAATAATAATATAATAGAATTGCGTTATCATATATACTATACATAGATATAAGATTGTTTAAAATAAAAACATTTTATTTTATATTCAGGCATAGATAGGTATGCTGATATATTATTTCCAGATAGTCACTGAAAAAATATGTGTAGCTAAACATATTTCCATAGGAACCTTAGCAGAAATGTTTTACTTATACATAGTTGCAACACTAAAATAATAATAATAATAATAATAATAATAATTATAATATTATTATAATATTAATTTCATAATTTGGTGTGAAATATATTTTTATTTAATAATAATAATATTGATATATTATACTCATTCAGTTGATTTTAATAATAATAATAATAATAATAATAATATAATAGAGTTATCTAATATTCTATAGGTAAAAAAAAAAAAAAAAAAAAAAAAAAAAACATTATTTGAAAAAAAAATAATTATTTGATATATTTATGCCTTATGGTATTTTTTCAACAGGACTTTTTTTCTTAAAGTTTCCCATTGAAATCTTTGTAACATTTTTTTCTCCAATGAACTTCATCTTCGTCAAATAGATGCCACGATTGGGCGTCATCTGGAAAATATTATGTACGGGTTTAGAAAACCATAGTATTTTATATTTTTATAGGTATATCGATTAAGTCTTACTGAGTTGCACTATCTCGGTGTCTGATACATTTGTTATATCCGATGCTGTGGGCGATCGACACGGGAAGGACTCATTCTGATCGACATCGAATGATACACATTCATGGATACCTCCATTTCCGTCGGTATTGAGGATGTAATCATTGAAATCGAATACATCGGCAAATAACGGTGGTGATAACTAATATAAAATTAAGCTTAATTTATAACGGGGTAAAAAAAAAAAAAATAATCTATATGTTAAAATATGAGTAACCTAGTTATATGTTATTATTATTAAGAATTTCAATATTTTAGACATGATCTTGACATAGAAATTATATTTGTATAAGATTTTATCAAAATTATAATATTATCATAATTTGGGAGAAATTAGCATATTTTTACCGATTTTCCTGAAAAATCATGATTTTTTCAAATATATTTCCAAGCTTGTGATGGCTATATACAAGTGATTTCATCATTATTTTACAAAGTATATGGAATAATACATGAAAAGTGTAAGTAATAAGCATCCGTGTAGTATATAACTGTACAGAATATAATAAATTTCTATAATGTTGTACAAAATAAATGCTGGGCTATGTGTATAAGATATGCATTAAAAGTAATTGAAATATATATGGTTTTCTATATATGAAATTATCAATTGGAAAATGATCACCACTTAACGTACCTACATTTTATTTTGTTTTTTGCTAATATGTGGTGAAGACAACTACATAATAGTATGCTTTTTATTATTAATACCATGGAATTTAAATATGAATTTGTTTCATCTTTGAAATAAATACGGTTTTTCATGTAATTAATTAAATTAAATAATTTAAGAACTCTTAATATGATATTAATATGATATTCTAGACTATAAGCTGTATTAGAATAGTGTGATAAATATGTGTAAATAGTATATGGGTTTATCTACTGAAAATGAAGCAATTAAAAAAGTTCGTATAATATAACATTATATTAATGTGCAACGATATGTATCGCGCGTTTAGACTCGCTATAATGGTGTTCATGCATTTAGATACACTTAATAACTAAACTGTTTATATACGCCTTTGATGGTAATTAGGCAGGGATATGATATTTTTTATAATATTACATGGTTTTAATGAAATTATGATATTTTTCCCTATTTTTTACTAAAACATTGTGATGTTTCCATATGCTTTATTAAAATTATGATATTTTTACTTATTTTAGTAAGATTTTTGTATTTACACACATACAGCTATGTTTTTATCAAAATTAGTACATTTCAACATATATTCACATTGACGAGTAAATTTTTAGATTTCATCATACATTTTACATACGTATTTAACGAAAAAATGAGTAAATTATTTATGAGTAGATCCTATATTGCATTTAATTGATGTATATTGGATAGCGTTGTACCAGTATATGCATGGCTACGTTGTGATATATTGTATGTATCAACTGTAAATATATAATAATTCATATATGTTAAAGAAATTA